ATGAATACCTTCCTTAACTACCAAGAAAAGATTAGTTTTAAATTGGGTGGGCCTAGCATGTGCAAGGTCCAGGTTCAATCCTCAGTAATGCAAAAAAAAAATGGAGTTTAATAAAGACATCTTTAATAAGAATTTCTGCTGAGGATGTAGCCCAGAAGTATAGCATGGCCTAGTTCAATTCCCTGCACACACAAAATACATTAGTCATGAACATAAAACCTATAAAATATTGAAAGAAATATAGATTGGTGAAATGGATATTATATCCTCAAGTCTTTAATTATACTATTGTTACTATATTACTTTAATTTCATTTTCATTTGGCCTCCATATATTAAGAACTAAATCTTGTATTATTGCTTAATGCCTTGGAATTTTCACAAATAAAATATCTAATTATTTAAAATATATCTATTAATAATGCCAATTATTAACAAAGCTCTCTCAGAAACCATTAGGCAAAATTTGTCTTCAAATATATTTCTTCTCTTCAATTTGTGAACTGTAAACATTGATATCTCAGTATTATAATGAGAATATGCAAAATTCATATTTGTTTCTTCCTTCCAAAGACAAGTTTTCCTTAAGTTCCTTTTACCAAAAAACCTCAAAAGATCACTGAGATACCTTTCTAAAAGCAACATAAAACTTTAAAGGCCATTTCTAATACAAATTTTTATTTGTAACTATAAAATGTCTTTGAAGACTACTGTCAACTGTTAAATGAATAAGCTGACATATGATAGAAAATTATAATATAAATGTATTATACATAATTGAACCTAAAAAGATAAAAAGTTAAAGGCAAAAGCATGACAAGACCATTGTCCTGAAGCTGATACTGTTGAAAGAATATCAAGATTAAAGAGCTAAAAGCAAGAATATCATCTTGACCTTAAGCCCCTGGTCTATTTCGGGGCATTTATTCACTACTAAATAAATGTTTATTGGCTAAAAATATGAAAAAAAATTAAGCATAATGGAGATGGAGTTGGGTTTTCACAAAGAGTGTATCACACCTGGTAAAATCTACTACTAGAATTGTGAGGTTACCTTGAAGCGAAGTAAAATGCTCTTGTTCATCATTGTTATGCACAGAGCTTATAATTTCTTTTAAAAGGCAACAAAAATAACCATGAGAGTAGTATTAGAATCATCAGCACAAAATGAACTACACAACCCCACAGGAAAGGGTGAGAACAGACAGACAAGAAAAAAAAAAGACCTATGAAGAAGAAAACAAAGCTGTTCAAGGACAAACTGTAGCAGGAAACAGTGGAGCCTCTACAGCAACAAGCAAAGTAAAAGAAGTGAAGATGAGAAACAGGACAACCAAAGAACTGGCCTGCTCGTCCCCAGCTGGTGAGCTTACAGCAGTGTTTAGTAATCATTACTTATCAGTGATAAAAATGCAATCCATACTTGTGCTCCAGTTAATTACTTTTTCAAAAATTCAGTGACAACATTTTTTTTTTGGAATTACTATAAAAGCTCAAAAAAACTGGTCTCAAAAAAAACTCACTTCAAATAAATAAAAAACCCCAGTTGAAAGGCCATAAAAAGGAAAATATCTAAAAATTTGCAAGTGAAGTTAAAAGATGCTTATACAACAACCATTTATAAATTTCCAAAGCAATTTAATAAAATATATAACCTAAGACATTAATAACATTTTAGCTGATAAAGACAAACTATTCTTCAGATTGAAAGCCAATGAGAATCTTTTTCTCCAATGTGAGAATAAACTTTTTTCTATTTAAGATATACATAAATAACTGAAAACTGAGTCAAAAACAAACTGTAAAGTTTTATAATGCCAATACAAAGAGGAAAATATTAAAAGCTCCCAAAGAAAGAAAAGAAGATCCTAAAAAGGAATAAAAATTAGATTGGCATTAGAATTCTCATCCATACACTGAATATGCAGAAGTTCCCAGATAAAAATTATTTACAACTCCAAACCTAGAGCTTTCATTTTTTACACGAAAATGAAACCTATACTGTTAGACATGCAAAGATTCAAAAAGTTTATGATCCACAAACTTATTCAGAAAGAATGGCTAAGTATTACTCTCCAGTAAATAAGGTAATTAATTTTATGTATATTTTAGCACAAGAAAAAAAATTGGGAGGAAAAAAGAACATGAGAGAAAGAAGTGGGATACAAGAAAGATTCATAAATGGAGAAGGTAATTTAGACCCCACTCTAATTTATTTTTAGAAAGTTATGAAGAGTGTAAGAGCTCGGAGACCCTCATTCTTCCCTATCTTCCCTATCTGTTAGCCTTTTTTAAAGTGAAACACACAAAGAACATAAGGAAAAATATGAGATTAACAGAGTGTTGTAAATAAACACTATGTCTGCACATAGCTCAGAAGAGGAGCATTGCCTCACTGTGCTTTTCTTTAGCAGCACCTCTAATCTTCTCTCAGCTATATTTACAGACTGACATTTATGAGAATGGATTTTTGCCTTTCACTATAGTTTTACCATCTAAATATGTATTCTTAGACAATGTGGCATAGTTTTACCTATTTTAAAATGTTATCTAGGGCTAGGTAAGATGGCTCATGCCTGCCATCCCATCTACTTGGGAGGTGGAGATCAGGAGGAACATAATTCTACACCATCCCAGGGAAACAGAGAGGCCCCACCTCAACCAATAGCTGAGCATGGAAGCATGGGTCTGTCATCCTAACTGTGCAGGAAGAATAAATAGGATAACCTGGGTCTAAGCTGGTTTGGGCATAAATAAGACTATCCCTAAAATAACTAAGGCAAAAAGGGTTGAGGGTGTGGCTCAAGTGGTTCAGTAACTGCCTAGGAAGTGCAAGGCCTTGAGTTCAGCCCCAAACTGCCAAAAAAAAAAAGAGGTTATCTAAATGGATTCACACAGTATGCACTCTTTCACATCTGGCTTACTTCACTAAATGTTAATGTTCATCCAGAGACAAACTGACTGTTGAGGCAGGAGAGGATAAGACTGTCTTGGCCCCCATACCATACTCTAGCACTGGTGTTCAACCTCTCTAGGCATCTGGTTCCTAGTTAGTTATAAGATGTTCTCCATGCCAGAAACTACCTCATTGTTGACACAAAGGCCCTAAAGAGAGATAGGAACAAGGAGCTCAACCCAAAATATATCTAGTCAAGCCTATTCTCTCCACTTGATGGTCAAGATCCTAAAGGAATAAATGTACACAACTGCAGCTGGGAAGAATTCCAGCTTACACTGTATCACAATTGATCTCATCTCTTTAAGCAATAGTAGTACCCAATGTGGAGCAAGCATTAGTTTTGACAGGATCCTTAGCAGAGGAAAACATCCTCCTCAGGAATAATAGAAGGTCTGGATAGCCACTGAGTTCCTAGCTTATTGCCTAAACAGCTGGCTACCTCTAAATGGGAAAATAACTCATTCAAGCAATAAGGACTAATAGTGACAGAGTTATCATGTTGTCTGGGGGCCACTGGGTCCTTGGAGTAAGCAAGACACTTACAGGCCTTAGAACAAAATATTCACAACCAAACAGAATCTGAGAGGTATGAAGTTCCTGGTTGCTAACTTGAACAGCCTGTCTCTTAGAAGAAAAATAAGAAGGGTCAGAAGAAGGAGGGAATGAAGAATAATAGATGGGCAGTGCATGTTTCTGCTGGGATGGCTGTCGGTACCTCATCACCATCATGTTGCTCCTGGCTGCTTCTATGCAGGAAATGCAAGAAAGCCAATGGTCTGATAGGAAAGCTTTGAAAATATTTAGTAAAGTTATATGAAAAGACAGGGTTATGGACTACACTCCTAAGAAATCGGCAAGGGGCTCTGGGCTCAATCAAAGAGGGAAAAGAACAGAAGGAAGTTACTAGACAGAGGCAAAAACCTGAAATGCACCTAAAAGAGTTGCAAAGATGGGCTGAGAGTAGAGATGATAATAGTGGACAATGCAGAATTATCATTAGAAGAATTAGATTTGGGATAAAGATCTCCTGGCGAAGATTCCCTGGTAGAGAATGAAATTGTTTCTTCCTCTGCCCCACTAAATACCTGTCAACAACACATGTCTGAGTTTAACAGAGTGGCTAGTCTGTTCCCTTTGACTGAACTATATCTGCAATTCCTTCAGTGCCTAGCACAAGCACACCAACATGTTCAATGGATCTGTTCTTGTATACCCTGCTTATGACAAGTTAAGCTACTGGAAGAAAAATGAGTAAATAAAAAGCTAAAGACTCCTGGTCCCTCTATCCTTAAGAATTGAGAACTGGAGGATGACAAAAGAACAAAGCATTCCTTTCTTTCACTTTATCTGTGTCTATTAAGACTTTGCCAAGTCAACAGATGTTTTGACTTGTTCAAAACAAGGAATCCTGGATTAAAATAAACTTGGATACCAAATCAAAAACTTAGTCAGGTATATCCTCATCCTACAGTCCTTATAAATCATGAGACCAGCAAGGGGCAGTATCTTTCTCCTGCCCTATAATCATGACTCTCCATGTGATGCCAAGGCTGTATGTCCTGCATTTGTAACAGATAGACCAATACTGATAAGACACTTCTAACAAAACAAATGCTTAACTGAAGCAAATATTAATTGAGAAATTTACAAAACAATTCATGTTAATTCTTCAAAAAATATCAGTCCAAGAAAAAGAAGACACGGGTCCTGTTCTAAATTGAAGGGCACACCAAAGCAATCTGTGACCTTGAGACAAGCACCATCATGAAGCACTGTGCTGTGTGAAATCCACACTCAGAGTTCGAGGGAGAGAGAGCACAAAAGTGGCGGGATGTTACTACTCAGGGCACAAAACTCAGCGGAATTCAAAATGATGATATACTGTAAATCGGAGGCTAACAGCACTAATAGGTTAACGCCTAGCTATGACGATATTTTTTCTCATTACTTGAAATGTCCTCAAATGTTTATTTCCTCTTTCCATCACAGAAAAGTAACTTGTATTGCTATTAAATGAGAAGTCACCCTAGATAAATACTTACGAGAGCAGGTGGCCGTCTGCCACTCCAGACACTGTCCATATGGAAACGAGATTATATAAGCATTAGAATCCACACATCTCTTTGTACTGCTGCACCACATACACTCCATGCCATTGCTTGTACAGTTGGAACATGATGTCCTCAGAGAGCATGGCTTTTTGCATGGCCTTGCATTTTGATTTGGACTAACTGAAATAAATTTTTAAAAGCAATTTCATTTGTTAACTTCATTTTAACAAACATATGGGTTTTACTATTCTGTTATTTATGAACTGTTTCAATTAAGACAATTGTGCCATTATAACATGATAAGGTAAATGAAAATAAGGATGATGCATCTACACTACTTAAACCTTAAATTTTTAAGTTCTAATATATACATTGTATAATTTTGAAAATTATAGTAATGTAATCTGTACTAATATAATCTGTCACCTAGTTTTTCTATTAGCTGACAACTATATACACTCACTGAATACTATATACTGAATAATATTTGTGGAAGTGACTTTCTCAGACACATCCATAAATACTCCACAACTTATCAAAGTAAAAGTCTTGTCTGATCATTCTCTGAAATAAAAAAAAACTTATTCTAAAATCTCTATATGAAATATAGTATTTATCACACTCATTAGAATGGCTAGTATATCTTTAAAACAACAAAAAAAAAGACAATTATAAAAACTGGCAAGGGTATGATAAAATTGCAACTATGGATTACTAGTGCAAATGTAAAAAAGACACAGCCTCTGTGAAAAACAGCATGAAATCCCTCAAAATACTAAACATGGAATTACTGTATGATTTAGCAATTCCATGTCTAGCTTCATTCACACGATGTAAAAGCAGAAATTCACACAGATACTTCTACACCCATATTCATACCAACATTATTCACAATAGTCAAGAGTTAGAAGCAGCCCTTGTGTCTATTGATGGATAAATGGATAAACAAAATGTAGTCTATACATACAATGGAATATTATTCATCTTTAAATAGGAAGGAAATTCTGAAACATGCTGTATGTAACATGGATAAACTTTAAGACAATATACTAAGGAAATAATCCAGAGATGTATAAAAGAATACAAGGCACTTAAAGTAGTCAAATTCACAAAAACAGCAAAATGATAGTTTCCAGGGGCTGGGGGAAAATGAATTGGAGTTATTGTTTAATGAGTACACAGTTTAATTTTTCAAATGAAGAAAGCTCTGGAGAGGGATGCTAGTAACAGTTATATATCAGTGTGAATGTACTTAACAGCACTGAAATACACACTTAAAAGTAGTTAAAAATGGTAACTTTCACTATATAAATTTTACCATAAAAATGCAACAAATTTAAAAAGAAAAAATTCAATATTCCCTCTTAACAAAAAATCCTTTCAAAAGATGTAACAAAAATATTTCATTTTACTTAACAACTGAAATAATACATATGTAAGATTAAAATGAGTCTCAGTTATTAATCTTAAAGATAAATCTTTCAAAACTGTTATGATAAATCCAGAAGATTAACAAATTAAAAATAGGTTATTTCTATACTGAAAATATGACTATATGTCATAAAGCACTATTTCAATAAAAAAAAAAAGACTGCAAAGAACAATAAATTTTATTTTCACAAGGTAATATTCAAATCTATAATAACAAGTTGGGGGGGGTGGATAAAAACAAATAATCAAGGAGTTGGTATCCTAAAAAGATGGTGCAAGTTAGTTCAGACTACATTGTGTAAGGAGGAGGTAGGAAGAGAGTTTGAAAACATATTTTTAAAGAATTCTACTTCACTGGCCTACTTACCAACAGGCTTTTCACAGACCAGGCCATCTGCCATGGATGTACAAGGATTTGCCTTTAGGCCTGCCACTGCAGCCCTTTCTAAATAGGCACAGAATCCAGAGTCATTGGGCTCACCAGGAAGCCACTGCAGTGTTGTATTTGTAAAAGGAGACATGTCCTCCCATCCCCAATAAGATATATTGATCTTGCGCAAGCCTACCCACGGTGATACTTTCTGCAAATGATAGGAAGGGGGCATCAAAAAAATTTAGATGTGAAATTACTGCATCGTGTTACTTACCAAATAATTCATTATTACTAAAAATTACATGTAAAACTATAAAAATTACCTTTCTGGTCACTTTTAGTACCAAGGATGACTGATTCTGGCACTTTTTGAAGGATGATATAGAATAGAACACTATTTTAAAAGCATACACTTGGTGTTTAGCTAAGTGATTGATGTCATTTATTTAGACCTTGTTAATTTGTTTTCTCTTCTATAAAATGGAAATATAAATATCTAAGTATCTACCTTATTAGGCAAAATCATTTTTAAAAAAACAGCATATTGCTGCTGCTGTTAATATTAATACCACTATCAAGTTAAACAGTTAATGTGTTATGGGACTGAGAAAACAACGTTGTCATTATTTATTCAATGTAAAAATAGAAAATAAAATCAGCAAACAGAATACAGATTGTGAATAAAGTCTTCATAGCAGGACTTCACAAAATAACAAAAGAATGACTACTACTACTACTACTACTTCAGACCTCTACTCCTACATTTATATTTTATGCAACTTTACATAAACTAACAGCATCAGCTTTTGTTAATACTGAGATCAAGAAAACTGATAAAATGTCATGGCTATGCAGAAAATTTAACTGACAGAGATTGTAAAACCACACAACTATCAGTGCTCTCACTGATATTTCAAAATTACCTTGAAGTCAAAATCTATTCTGTATTCACATACTTTAATTATCACTCAAAAGCAATGATACATTCTTGATCCAAGTTACAATCTTTTAAAATTCTATTAGATTAAGAATCTCTATGTTAACATATATGATAATGTATTTTTTGAGATCCTAAGCTACCAATATTTTTAACAATGTAAAATGGTTTCAGAACCCATCATTTTTATATTATGGAGTGCCAGCGTAAAAAAAAATATTCCACCTTAGTCATTTACAACAAAAAAGTAAGACAATTTATATCTTATCAATTTATTCTAATTGTCTTGCATAAATGGCCCTTGGGACCTTAAAAAGTTATCTATAGGCCTATAAATTTGTTGTGTGCAAATATAAGGAATTTCACAACATAATTACTCAACAAATATTTCTTGGATAAAATTAAAATACCATATGAATTTTCATTATGACAGTAGATCTCATATTGCTAATTGAATACAGTATACTCTGTAATTAATCAATACATTTTGCTAAACAAAGCTAATTAGAATAAAATGGCTATTTTCCACCATCTGGCAAAATGCCTGAGGCAGAGAGGGTACTTAATAAATGTGTTTCTTATTATAAAAATACACATGCTGCTCCACATTGTAATCATCATATTTTATGCATTATTCTAAAAGATATTTTAATAACAAAAAAGCTATAACATTTTTAAAGTTCCTGATAATAACAGATGGATAATCAATCCAACATACATATTTCAGATTAATGATTTTTTTCACATTATAGCAATTCTGCCTATATTTCCCAACTATCTATAGTAAAGACAAGCCATTTAAAATGAAATATTACTCTCTAATGCATCAGGATAAGAATCTGAGAGGAAAAGAAGAGAAGCAAAAATAAAGCTGCTGATAAAATGTTTAAAGTAACTATTACCCAGTAAATGAACCAACAGGTAATAGAAAATGAAAGATAAATCACTGTATTATGAAAATTTTCTGCAACACACCATAAATCATTGTAACATTTCATTAGCCATTTCTGATAAGTAAGTGATCATTTGACCCAAGATATCTCTTCAAAGTGCATGAATTTGTCGATCTTTATTTGCCAAAGAAGGGTTATCTTAAGTTTATACAATGGCAATGACTCAGGATATAATTCATTATGTACAAAGACATGCCCAATGGAGTGTCACCTTGAAAAAGTTCCCACTTTGAAATCCTGCTGAAAGCTCAGCTTTCTAATAAAACAAAACATCCTTCATTTATACAACATGCTAGTCAGCAAATTATCAAGTCTAAGTTCATCATACATCAAAATAATTGTTAGTCCAATCTATATGATTTATAATAAGAAAAAATTAGTAACTAATACAAGACATCTTGAAAGATGCAACTTGTAAATTAGCACATTTCATGGTGACATTGTAACAACTGAAGGGGAGCTCTTTGGGGGAGAACCAGTGGGAGAGGAGACAGGAAAGAAGAGGGTGATGGGGGTGCATGGGATCAAAGTACATTATACATATGTATGAAAATAGGATAATGACTCCTGCTAAAAGCTGTTATAAAGGGGAGGAAGAGAGGGAATAAGAAGGAGTAACAGAAGGATGAATATGTTCTAAATACATTATGTACATGTATGGAAATATCACATGAAACCCCTTTGTTCAATTAATTTGTGGTATTAAAAATATAATTATAAAAAAGAAAATGTGAATCTGTAAATAAGTTCTTCATCAGTGATAGGTAATTAGTAGAACTAATTTTTACATGACAATGGGTAACTGTCCCTCATTTTTTGTAGTTAGAGATAAGAAGCTCCTAACCTCACAAGAATGTAAATCTCATGGGTGAGATGACCATCCCCTATCCTTACATATCACCCTTGTGCATCTATTATCACAGTTCTCACACTTACTTATAATTATGCTTGCCTCTCTGCTAAAGTCTTTGAGAACAGTAATTCTCTTTTGTTCTATTCTCAAAAGCAAATAGACAAGTACAATAAAGGTGCTCAATAATATATAACAAATAAATAAATACTGGTCCATCCTTCAGAGAAAAATAGCTACAGTTTGCCAAAAAAAAATGGTTTTATGGATCATTTATTCCTACAGACTTAATTAGTATAGTGTTTTCTTTATCTTATGAATCCCAGGCACAAAAGAAATCTGTTATATGACCAACAAGTACCATATTAGATCTGCTTCAAAATACTGAATATTTATAAAAGCCAAAAGATATAATTACTTTATCAATTTTATTAATGGTAAGTGAACTTTGGACCTACAGACAAAATCTGGTATTAGAAATTATATTATCTATTATTGGTATTTATGAGTAATATACATACCAACATCACCACAACAATTAGGGTAGGCAGTAACAGTGAATTGAAAGTCCAGACAAGAATTTTAATTATTCACCATGGAAAAACTAATACACTAGTCTGGACTGGGCATGGGGGTATATGCAATAATCCCAGAACTTGGGAGGCAGAGGCAAGATAACTGGGAGTTCAAGGACAACCTGGGCTACATAGGGAAATGCTGTCTCAATAAAAGAAAAAGGAAAGAGAGAGAGAGAGAGAGAAAAGAAAACACTAGTCTAGGGCAAACATAATTAAAGTCAGTAATAACTGTTAGTCAAATAAATTATTTAGTTATGTAACATTCGTACTCTAAATTGATTCCTGGAAATACTAATACCAGTGCTGAGAACAAAGGTAAAAATAATAATGTGTAGATGGAAATCATAATGATAATCATAGTAAACACTTAAAAATAAAGTGAACCTATATTCTTTACACATAATTAACTTTCAAGAGTTATCCCCATCTACAAATAAGTAAGCAAGAACTGCAGAGACAGCAGCATTCCCGCGTTCCAGGCCTGCACCACTGTGATCTACTGTCTACCATGCTGCTTAAAAATCAGCCATACCAGTGAAGCATTACTTAAGTGTAAGTGTTTCTATTGCAAGTAATTGGTAATATTTGTTTCAAATTTTTTCGTGCCAAAACATCTCTGCCACATGAGTGGAGTTACAATTCTAAGATTAAATGCACATTTTTAAGAGAATTTATTCATAGAAGATGACCACTTGATAAGATAATGCAGTGGTTTACTGTGTAAAGCATGTGATAAGTAGGTTATTACTAAATGCACATAAAATATGAGTTCCCTTCTGGTTCACTTTTGAAATTAATTCACTTTTATTTCCAAGGTTTAGTAATAAGGTATTTTTACATGCAAAAAGAATGAACTATTTCCAAAAATTTTAAGATCATCACAGCTTGTTTCCATAATATAAACAAGTATGAATGTTACCTGTTGTGTATACTTCTGTATTTCATCCAACACAAATTCTACTTCTTTTGAAGTTGTTAATGAAGCAAGATTCCCACTAAGATTATAGCAATAAAGTTTTGCATTGTCATAGCTTTCTCTACTGGAATTGATTCTAAGACAAGCATCTCCAATATGACTCCATCCTTCTCCACAAAGATGAGCTAGTCAAAGAAAAAAGAACTACATCTTATTTTTAGATTCCCATAAAGTATATGTATTATTCAATCATCTCAGAATTTTAAATATTACCTCAATGATAATTTAAATTTATTTTTAAATGTAAAATTTTAAATATGTTAATATAATATCCCAAACAAAATTTGTTTAACAGTTTGGTGGAGAAAGAAAACAAAGAATCCTAATTTTTTCTTTAATTCTTAAACAAGATAAGCTATGGCTCTTACAAAACACCTACTAAAACATACTGACTGCTAGGTTTTCTGTATAATCTGGTCTATTGGCATATATCGCAGTAAGCTAAGTAACTACTATAGTTACAATCCAAAGTCCAGTTTACAAAAGCTAAGATCACTTGAAGCACATAACAAAAGCAAGTTTCAAAGACTGCTTTTTGTTGTTGTTGTTGTTGTTATACTTTGAGGCTAAGTGACCTCAAAGTATAATTTCCATAGCTAGGTATACTATTTAGATAAGAAGTCATTCCTTAGTTCCTTAATTAAGAGTAAAGTATCTCATCTCAGTTATATTTAGTTAAAAAAAAAAAAAGCAATAGTCTTTGCCTTCTACTGCCTATTTTCACAGTTATTCAGATCTTTCCAAAGGTTAAACATACTATTCAGCAATACTAGTTTATTCACGAAGTCCAAACTGAACTTTAAACAACACCTATTCTCCAATACACAGGTTTATACATACATCAAAATATTATACTATAGCATGCATGTTATTAGTGTGTATTATACTCTGACAATACAGTGTTTCAAAAACACTCAATCTACACATTTAGTCTGTATTTGAGTTTCCATATCACTTTAAACATTGAACACAGCCTTGTGCTGTGTGTGAAAGGGCTTGGATCATGAGCGCAGCCCTTACGGAAATGTTCTCATGAACCAGTTCTCAAACTTCTTGGTCATTAACATTTAAAAATAATTGAGGGTGCCACAGCTCTTTCTTGATGCATGTTATATCTAATGATTTGGCCACATTAAAATTAATAATGATAACTTAAAATATAGATTTAGAGTAACACTGTTAAATCCCATTGTAAGTACATTCTTCCAGGTGCTACAAGGTCTTGCCCCTTTATAGTACACAAACAGGGCTGGAGATGAACTCTTAAATTCCCTTCCTAGAGAAAGCCTGTGACAGTTTAAAAGAGACTTGTTGGATCAAAAAACTAAGATAGATTGATGAATGAAGAGAGGATGGTAGACAGAGCCATGGCAATACAGCAGATAGAGCAAAATAGTAACTAAGGAATCCGAGGGGTGGGGTATCCACTCCAAGATTTTCCATTTTCTAAATGTTTGAAATTTTTATAATAAAATGTTTGGGGGGGAATTACTATTCAATATAAATAGTATATTTTATTTTACAAAACTATAGCCTCCAAATAAAAAAATATTAAGTCATGGGGCTTTGTTTTACGTATTTGAAAATCTCTTTAATGTCTGACTTAAAGACAAATAAAGATATTCCCACATCTGCTTCTGTATTCAGTTCACTGGATTGCAAAGTTCAGGAAGCCTTTGGAAACTCCATGCTAAATTCATAACAGAATGAGAATTTTAAAAGAATTTTTCCTGGCACAGGTGCTTACACCTGTTATCCTGGCTACTTCAGAGACAGAAAACCTGAAAGATCACAGTTGGAGGCAAGCCCAAGTAAAAAGTTCACAAGACCTTATCTCACACAATAACAGGGTGGGCACAGTGGCATGCAGCTGCCATCCCAGCTACACAGGAAGCATAAATAGGAGATTATGGACCAGAACAGACTAGACATAAATGTGAGACACTATTTGAAAAATAACTAAAGCAAAAGGACTAGAAGGCGTGGCTCAAGTGGTAGTGTGCCTACCTAGCAAGCACAAGGCCCTGAGTTCAAACAGAGGAGGAAGGGGATGTTGAAGGAGGAGAAGAGGGAGGAGGACATGAGAAGGAGAAGGAGAAGAAAAGAAATAGCATGTCATTATTCGAGAAAATTGGAGAATATTAATTTAGTAGGCAGTATCAGGAAAGTAACAATGAAATGACATGAAGAACTTGAAAATAATATTGATCTTTATAGCCACTGTTCTAAGGATTAAATGGGGTACCATAAATAACTCACAGTACAGAGCACAGCAATCCATCATTAAACCACAATCACTATTTAACAATACTAGGATGACTTTGTTTGCATTTTGAGACTGCATGTGTAGCAGTCTTCCTAGTCTTATGGAATCCAAAGTACCAAATCACTTTTTCTTATAAAAAAAGATTTGGAATTGGGTTCTGACAATTTTCTATGGAAAAAAATCATGAAATAGGGAGAAGGAAAAAAAAACAAACTAAACAAAAATAAAATGCCCTATTAATAGTTACAACTCTGACATTTCTAAGCCAAGCACTTAACTACCATGTGTAGCAATTCTAACAAGACAATGGAACTGGTTAAGTATTTGTTCCTTTTTTTTTTTTTTCTGACTTTATCTTTCACATTAAAAAGGAAAAACACTAAGAATGTGAACTGTGAAAAATAAAATGAACTTACATTTAAAATGAGTTTTGCTGTGGTTTGTACAATTTAGAATCTCATAAAAGCAGGTAATATTTATGAAAGTTATACTTTTATTTTAAAAAGCAGCCAGAAAATATTTATTGAATTTTGAAACTGAAGGGCATTTTAAAATAAATCAAACATGACAACATGTAAATATTTGTTGTATCTGGATATTAAGCCCAAGTGCTCATTATCGCTGGGTTTTTAACGAAAAGGTGTCCATCAAGTCAATGGTACAGTAAACACAAGAAACCACAAGCATCTTGGAAGATCTGGAAGCAAGGCGACGTTATGCAACTTTTCTTATAAAAACAATGCCTTTCCACTGCAGTACTACAAGTTCACGCTTGCTAAAGCTTTAATTTTAGAAGACGTGGTGTTTGTACCAAACACGTTTCACTGTGATAGTATTCATCTACAGACCATACAACTTATTTACCAAATCTTCAGATCTTTACCTGGCAAAGCCTGGCATTCCTGCTGCCGCTGATCCCACTGGCAATTCAAGTTTAGTGAACAGCTTTTACAGCTGGTGAGTTTGTTACAGATCTGCTCATTTCTCACATGACATTTGGTATAGTTTCTGACAGACTAGGAAATTAAAGATAAAGCATGTTATTTTTCACCACTATAAAAGTGAGAATTCTTAGGTGTCAGTGTATTTTTAAAGCCCCTAGAGAACTTTAAAACAGATTTCTAATTCTAAACCCAATTCTATTGAATCAGAATTTCTCTTACTTATTGCATTAGTTTGTTAAATTAAATTTGGCTTACTTCTGCCTTTATACATCATGAACCCCAACCCAATTTAGTATGTAAACAAACTGCAACTTAAAGAGTATATTCTTGCTGGGCACACAGTGGCTTACACATGTAATACCATATATTTAGGAGGCAGAAACTGGGAAGATTTCAGTTTGAAGTCAGGCCAGGCAAAAAATTAGCAAGACCTCATCTCAACAAATAAGCAGAGTATGGTGATACGCAACTATAACCCAGCTACACAGGAGGCCATGGACAGGAGGATCATGGTCCAAGACCAGCCCTGGGCAAACATGAAACCCTATTGGAAAAACAACTAAAGCAAAAAAAGGACTGGGGACTGTGGGTCAAGTGGTAGAGTCTCTGCCTAGCAAGCATGAGACCCTGAGATCAAACCTCAATACCACCAAAAAAAAAAAGAGTGTATTCTTAGATTCACAGATGCTAAACCATAGCCAATCACAGTCTGCCAGCCTATTAGACCATGTCCACATGAGGCAATGCCCAGCCCTAACCAACTGAGATACTTTGTATATTTTTTTTCTGTCTTTAAATTACCACATGACCACACTGCTGATAGAAGCACTCTGATTCTCTACTGGTACAGGATGCTGCCCAATTAATGAATTGTTCTTTGTTCAAATAAACTCTGCTAAATATCTGTTGAAATATTTTCTCTTAAAAAGATAAGCTATTACTTTTATAATTGTAATGAGACCTAATCGAAAAAATTGTGCAAATTACACAATATGAAAAGAAACCATTTAATGAAAACTTTTAGTGAATCTGAAAATAGGCTTCTAATTAAATATAGTCAATGCATGAAGTCATTCGCGTTAATGGTAGCATGAGATGATTCTCATATTAATAAAACTATCATGCAATCCCTTGAAATAAAATAGAAATGATAAGTAGTACCAAAAAATTGAAGATGAGCCTTATAAAAATACAATGCAATCTGAAAAGTAATTAGTTTCACAATAACTTAATTTTACTTCCACAGATGGTTTTAGTTCACTGATGTCTCTTTTATGAATTTGTCAGATTTCCTTCATAAGGACTATAAAAAACTTACAAGTTATTTTTTAAACCTACTTCATCATGCAATCATATTTCAATTAATTCTGACACTGAGAAGTTAAAAGTTGAAGGTCAATAAAGAAAAACAGGCAACACTGAAAGTTTGCTGAAAGTGACTGTGAGGCAGGCTGCTAACAGCCAAAGAAGAAAGCCTCATGGGACTCAACCCTCCTCAGCAAACTCCACTCTGAACTTCTCCCTGTCCCTACCCAGCATCATCCTCCTCTGACATTCCTTCAGTTGTAAATTCTTTTTCAAATGTAAATTCCTTTGCAATTGGGAATTCCCCCAAAAGACAAGGGCATTTCCTGGTGTGCTTCTGACTAGAAAATGGCACATATCCAGTAAAGGGAAATCTGTCCTCAGTCTGACCTCTCAGGTAAAGCCCCTACTTAAGAGCTTATGAATATTGCTTGCATCTCATAATAAAACCTGACACACAGAACAAGGACATACAGCAGAATGCCCCATGATGTATAACAAGACCTTGTCAATCAAACCTGTCAATCACCCAAGGACCTCCTGCAAAGACCATCCAGACTTTTCCCATCATTTGCCCTTCTAACCTATAAATTGCCATTTGAACAAAGATCAGGGTTTCTGTACCATGTGGGCAAAGCCCATCACCTTTTCTTTTGTAGTGCCTATATTTTCCTTTCAATGAAACTTTACTACTGTTTTGCAATCAGCATCTTTGTCCAATGTTTTATTCCAAGAGGCAAAGACCTGAGATCTCCACCAGGATCTTCTGAGACCACCACACTTTAACACCTGGGCTCAGCTACTTCATGTAATATTATCACTATCTATGGTAAAACCTATCTCATGAAAATCAGATTCTATCTCCCAGACTTGAGTTGTTTTTAGGATACGGGATTATAATCGATGTGAGATATGTTCATAGTTCCCCTGGTAATAGTGATTATTTATTAACTCAGTGTCTTATGACTTTGCAGAATATAAATACTGAAAAATGCACTGTATTAGTATGATCTCACTTATGTAAGATCATGTTTAGGACTGGATCATGGCTCAAGTAACTGAGTGCCTGTCTAGCAAGCATGAGGCTCTGAGTTCAAACCCCTGTACTGCCAAAAAAAGAGAGAAAGAATGTTTAAATGTGCTTATCTTTGTGGAGAAAAAGGCCAGGAGACTGTATTTTTTAAAAATTAAAAATTATTTCCATAGCGTTCATACATTATCTGGAGAAAAATAAAAACATATCAAAGCTCTCACTCTGACAAAATAGCTCTTTACAAAGTAAATATGATTTTATTGTAAATGTGTATGTACTGAAACATGGCCAAAACAAAAGAAAATCAGATTCTAAAATTTTGGCTCAACTCTTCTTATGATGAAAAAAATTAAAAAGACTAATGCTACTCCCTGAGTCCTAATCTTTATTCTGTCTACAGTGTAAATGCTGACGTCAGGCCTTCTAATGTAAGAGATATAAATGTTGACTTTCAGTCAATCAGACTAAAAAGTTAAAATTGAGTTACAACTATCCATGTAAAAAATTGTTATAATTTTTATCTTCTTAGGTACTTCATCTTTTTAGGTATTTATAAAATACTATCCTTTGTAAAATATACTGCAGTCACTTCTATCCCAAGGGTGTTAATTTCTTTAGAGCAAATTATATGTAATGTAAGGAATAGATAAAATGTATACAAATACAATATTTGTCTTTACTCATCCTTAAAAAAAATCACAGGTGCTACATTTTCATAAATTTCAAATTATTAGGTGACTTATTAAATAACTACCATATTTTCATTAGAAACATAAAAACTCTTATTGTCATTTTGCCTGATTCATAGTTTTTTACTTTCATATAACATACATCTATCTTAGCATTATTATATATGATCATTACAGTAGACCCAAAAACATTTGCAAATGGACTGAAAATAAATAAATTAACTTGAATTATTCAATAAGCACAATAACACACAAAAATGACAAGAGAATGGTTATACATGTTGGAATAGGGGAAGTAATAGCAGCTTAATGTCAGTCTTCAGAACAACAATGGTAACACAAGAATCCATATCCAAATACTTCTACGGTTCTTCATTAAGAACAATGTATAATTTATTGATACTGAACAAGGACAATATATGAAACTTTATTTCAATAACATACAGAACCAAGTTAATCAGAAATGGGAGACAGCTAACTGTTATTCTGAAACATTTTTTAGCCTGATGAACCAGATGCACATTTACAAGCAGAGTATGAAGGGTAACTATTGCTATACTAATCTTTAATGTATTTAACTGTAAATTTAAAAATGAAAATCCATGAGAAACAGATTTTTTGAACATTCAGAGCACAAAATATGCAATTTAAAATAAATATGGCTATCAACATTGTAAAGGCTATATATGACAAACTTATAGTCAACATCATGCTTAACAGTGAAAAACTGAAACCACTTCCCCTAAAATCAGGAACGAGACAAGGGTGCCCACTATCCCCACTTCTATTCAACATAGTCCTGGAATTTCTAGCCAGAGCAATTAGACATGAAGAAGAAATAAAAGGAATACTAATAGGTAAAGAAACTATCAAAATATCCCTATTTGCAGACAATATGATCCTATACCTCAAAAACCCAAAAAACTCTATCCAAAACTTCCTAGACACCATAAACAACTTTAGCAAGGTAGCAGGATACAAAATCAACTTACAAAAATCATTAGCTTTTCTATACACCAACAACGAACAAACTGAGAAGGAATATATGGAAACAATTCCATTTACAATAGCCTCAAAAAAAAATCAAATACCTAGGAGTAAACTTAACAAAGTATGTAAATGACCTCTACAAGGAGAACTACAAACCCCTAAATAAAGAGACAGAGGAAGACTACAGAAGATGGAAAGATCTCCCGTGCTCATGGATTGGTAGAATCAACATAGTAAAAATGGCTATACTACGAAAAGCAATCTACATGTTTAATGCAATTCCCATCAAAATTGCAATGACATTCATCACAGAGATAAAAAAAATCTACCCTAAAATTCATTTGGAAACACAAGAGACCACAAATAGCCAAGGCAATACTCAGCAAAAAGAGCAATGCTGGAGGTATCACAATACCCAACTTCAAACTATATTACAAAGCAATAGCAATAAAAACAGCATGGTGTATCACAATACCCAACTTCAAACTATATTACAAAGCAATAGCAATAAAAACAGCATGGTACTGGAGCAAAAACAGACATGAAGACCAGTGGCACAGAATAGAGGTCCTAGATATGAATCCACACAGCTATACCCACCTTACTTTTGACAAAGGTGCCAAAAATATACGATGGAGAAAAGACAGCCTCTTCAACAAATGTTGTTGGGAAAAGTGATTACCCGTCTGCAAGAAACTGAAACTAGATCCATGTTTATCACCTTGTACTAGTATCAACTCAAAATGGATCAAAAACCTTAATATCAGACCAAAAAACTCTGAAGTTAATACAGGAAGGGGCAGGAAACACTCTGGAACTAATAGGTATAGGCAACTAAGAGAAAGGATGGACAAATGGGACTTCATACAATTAAAAAGATTCTGCACAACAAAAAGAAATGGTCGCTAAACTGAAGAGACCACACAGAGAGTGAGAAAAAACATTTGCCAGCTATACATCAGACAAAAAGGACTGATAACCAGAATATACAGGGAACTTAAGAAACTAAACTCTCCCAAAATCAATGAACCAATAAAGAAATGGGCAACTGAACTAAACAGAACTTTCTCAAAAGAAGAAATTCAAATGGCAAAAAAAAAACATGAAAAAATGCTCACCATCTCTAGCCATAAAGGAAATGCAAATCAAAAACACACTAAGATTCTACCTCGTGTCACCCCTGTTAGAATAGCCATCATCAAAAACACCAGTTAACAACACATGTTGGCAAGGATGCGGGGAAAAAGGAACCCTCATACACTGCTGGTGGAAATGAAAGCTAGTGCAACCACTCTGGAAAAAAATTTGGAGGCTTCTTAAAAATCTAAACACAGATCTGCCATGTGATCCAGCAATCCCACTCCTGTGGATTTACCCAAAAGAATGCGACACAGGCTACTCCAAAGGCACCTGCATGCCCATATTTATTGCGGCACTATTCACAATAGCCAAGTTATGGAAACAACCAAGATGCCCCACTACTGACGAATGGATCAATAAAATGTGGTACTTGTACACAATGAAATTTTACTCAGCCATGAAGAAGAATGAAATCTTATCATTCGCAAGAAAATGGATGGAACTGGAAAACATCACTCTGAGCGAGGTTAGCCAGGCTCAGAAGACCAAAAATCATATGTTCTTCCTTGTACGTGGACTTTAGATCTAGGGCAAATACAGCAATGTGGCTGGACTTGGGTCACGTGACAAGGGGAGAGCACGTATGGGAGGTATGGGGATAGGTAGAAAACCCAAAACATGAAAGCATTTGATGTCCCCACTCCAGAGGAACTAATACAGAAACCTTAAAGGGACAGAGGTCAACATGAGAAGGGGATCAGGAACTAGTGAAAAGGTCAGTTAGAGATGAATCAACTTAGGTTGTAACACATTTGTACATGGAAGCAATGCTAGGAATCTCTCTGTATAGCTACCCTTAACTAGCAAAAACGCTTTGTCTTTCTTATTATGCTCATGTCTTCTCTTCAACAAAATTAGAGATAAGGGCAAAACAGATTCTGCCTGGAAGCAAGGGGAGTTGGGATGGAGAAGGTGGGGGCAGGGAGTAGGGGGAGAAATGACCCAAACAATGTATGCACATGTGAATAAATGAATAAAAAAACTTTGGACACATTGCTGTGAAAAAATAAATTTAAAAAAATTAAAATAAAAAATAAATAAATATGGCTAAATAATAAAATAGGATATCAGGGTACATAATTTAGACTAACATCCCCTAGACCTTTCTGTATCTATTAGCATTTGGTTTTTCTTCATCACTAGACAGTCTGATAAAACTGTCTAAAAGATACATATAATCACATTCTAAATTATAAATGAGTACCATCTGCTCACTTATACTATGTGATCCAAAGCATTTCTTATTAAGACATCATCAAAAATAAAATATAAAACAAAAAGACACATTATAAAATGAATACCTGATAGCAAGTTACACAGTACAATTTTTAAGATATTTATTTTTCCACCTAGACTTGTATATTGTTAAAGTACAAATGTCTTCTATGGACTGAATGTCTGCAAAATTAACATATCAAAGGCCAATACCCAATGTGACAGAATTAGGAGACAGAACTTTAGGGAGGTGATTTGGTCATTAGAGTGCAGCAGCCCTCATACACAGGATGCACCTATGTAAGGAGCTGAAGAAACCAGAGCTTCCCTTCCTGTTTTTTATTTAAATGTATTTTTTATTTCATTTTTATTGTCATAGTATTGTTGTATTGGGGGTACACTGTGAAATTTACAAAATTTCTTACAATATATTTTAGTTAAATTCACCCCCTCCATCATTCTCCTTTATTCCCCTCCACACACCCATTCCTGGAATAGTTTCAACAGGTCTTATTTTTCCACTTTGATACATGAATATGTTGCCACCACATTCACCCTCCTACACCCTTTCCTTTTATCCTCCTCCTCTCACTGGTGCCAACCCCCACACAGGACCTGTTTTATCTTCCTGTCCCCTATGTTTTTGAAAAAAAGGCATTTTGTTTGTTTAAGATATGTATACAGGGAGTTTAATTATGACATTCCCATGTATATATCTATTATACCACGAATAAAAAACAGAGGGGATGAACCAATTAAGAGTTTCTCTTCTGTCATGGGAGAAAGCATTCATTCACCTTTTATGAACCAGAACTCAGGTCCTCGCCAGACCAGAATCTGTCAGTGCCTAGAACTTAAAAGACTTCCTAGTCTTCTGAACTAGGAGAAATAAATTCATGTTGTGTATAGGCCAACCAATTTATGGTGCTTTGTTCTAGCAGCCTGAATAGACTAAGATAGCATCTAAACAAATTAACTCAGGGTTTAACAAAGGTTAAAATAAAATCATCTTATAATTTTTAACTAATAATGTTTCTGTTTTTATTGATAATGGCTAAATTTATGTGTCAATTTGACCAGGACACAGATATCCGTATGTGGTTAACTATTATTTCTGGGAATATCTGTGAAGTTGTGTCCAGATAAGATTTGCATTGGAATCTGAAGACTGAATTAAGCAGAATGCCTCCCCAATGAGGACAGGCATCTTCCCACGCTTTGAGGGCCTAAAAGGAACAAAACGATTAATAAAAGAGTTTCTCTGCCTCAGTGCTCTTGGCTGGGACCTACACCATTGGTGCTATTGGTTCACAGGTATCTGTACTTCTACTGGAATTTACACCACCAACTTTCCTGGGTTTTATATGGAGATATGTATTTAACTCCTATATATCGTATATGTCTCCTATCAAGTTCTGTTTCTCTGAAGAATCTAGTACAAAATCCTTCATCCCCATGCCTTATTTTACTTAATTCCTATTTCCATTAAAATAATTTCCATTAGATGAATATTAATGCAAATCTAAAAATATTATGTAAATTTTCAAAGCAGAGTCATGTCATTTTAATGTAAAAACTCAAATAGAATCCTAGTATTTCTTGTTATTAAAGCAACTTATATCATTGGAAAGTATGTACCAACAAAATATGTGCAGAGCAAAACAGTTCAATCTAATGAGTCGATAACTGCAAATTTTCCTCCATTTTGTTTTAAATATTTTAGAATAGAATCATAAAACTTAAATATTTTGAAATATTATTGGTTATTGGAAAATATTTTAGATGATACATAGTATTTATACCAGTTTAAAACACTGCTTCCTTTACTTTTTATCTCTGCCCGCTATCATGAAAAAAACATTGGACACTTTAATTGCTTAATAAAAAATTAGAAATAGAAAAATATTGTGTAATTAGCTGAAAATCTATATGCACATTATTTCATTTTATTTAAGTTACAGCCCAATAAGAGATTCTTTTAGTCAACTAAATACTACCTTTTATGTTGTTCCTTTTAACTTACTGACTTCCAAAAAAGTTGTAATGCTTTGACACTACCTACTTAGAAGCTTAATTTTCCCTGCTCTTAATCCATTTTCATCTATGATAAGTATTAATTTTGTAATTTTTCAAGTCTTCCTTAATCTAAAGTAGAGGTTTAGCATTATTGAAATTCTGAGCCAGATAATTCTTTGTTGTGGAAAGGCCATCCTGTGCACTGTAGGACATTTAGCAGCATTCCTGGCCTCTGAATATTACATACACATAGCAGCCTAAAAGTTGTGAACAATAAAAATGTCTAGATACATTCCCATGTCCTCTGCAGGACAAAACTGCTGAAAGTTGAGAGTGAGTTATCTAAAGACAGATAAAAAAGGAGCTACTATTTTCAACATCTCAGGCTACATTCAAACACATAGTGTATAAACACCAGACGCACACCACTATTCATACATGCCTGAGAAGAATCCCATGGAAATGATTTTAACACCTACCTATATAATCCTATTTCCACGAACATAGAAAACAACACTTAAAGACAACATTAAAGATAAACTGTAAATTAAAATGTTAAAATTTGTCAGTCTCAGTCATGAAAAGAAACACATTATTACATGTATGTGGAATGTAAACTGACAAATGTGAACAACACACTGCAGTCTGACTTGATAATGTACCAAGATGTGAATGACCCCACATAACTGCTTCAATGTGCAAAGGGCTTGTTTTCTTATATTATACTTTCAAGTATAGTATTTGCTTCAGTGTACAAAGAGCTTGCCTTCTGGTAAGCGAATGATATGAAGCAGCAATGTTAACGACATCACCGTTTTCCCTGAATACTAACCATACTGCAGTTACTGTTGGCCGAAATGCATTTCTTGTCATCACACCACTGGCACCCATTTGTATTGGCAGTACAGCTGGCACAATCTGTATATCTGTAACATCTGTCATCAGGAGCAGCTGTAATACAAAAGTGATATAAAAAATATTAGGATGAAGATAAAATGTCATACTTATTTCGCACACTTATAACATCTATTTAAGGATCATTAATACATTTTAACCAAAAAAATTACCTTAGTATCAAAATCAGTTCTCCAATATGAAACTCCCTTTGTAGTTTGTGTTACAGGATTCTAAATATCTTCTGTCCTCATCTTAATTATTCAACTAACCAGGATTATTATTCAATTCTATATCCATTTTAAATTTGCACATTTTGAAAGAGAAAAAGAACTTCAAAGTATTTTATGGAATAAAATGTATTATTACTAATAATAATACAGAGTAAAATGTATTATTCAATACCCAAAAGAAAACATCCTAACAGATACTTATTGTTTCACTTCTCCTTATAAAGATGTTTAGGGAAGTCTGAGTTAACATATATTAGTGAATTTTGGAAATATGATTATGAGTTGTAACATCAAAAATGTATAAAAGCCCTTACCTATTGAGAGAAAAGTAAATAACTTATCTAAATCATAAATTAAAATACTGACTGATAAATTTTGAGTTTGATTTATTTGTTCAACCCATTTTAAGAAATATAAAAATTAGAACATCGATCACCAAATTCAGGGAAATTTTTTAACCTTATGGTGTAGCTTGGCAATAATTTAAGAAGAATGAAAATGCCAAATGTAAAATAAATCACTTATGTTCTTTCTTTGCAATACACAATATTTCTCAGAAATGATGTATTTGAAAGCATTTTAACTTATATTACAAAATAATTCATATATGACCATGTTCCATACAAAGTACATATAACAGAAGATTTCAAAAATAAAACTAAAAGTAGCTAACAAATATGATAAATTACTAACCATTGCTAAGATCAATACTAGAATTCCTAGAGGATTATGAATTTTTCATTTTTGTAAACAGTAAGGTAATTCCTACGAGCAAAGTACATTTCTACTTCTAGTCAAATAGAGAAACTGTGAAACCAGCAAAAGGGTAAAATGAAAAAAATAAAACAAGAAAACTCACCTGTTTTAAAAGGACACTTTGTTCTGAGAATATTATTAGCATTCCCAGATTCCCAAGATTCACAGTGATTTTTATTCCAAACACATTTTATCCCTGGACCAGCATTTTTACAAAGTTCCTCATCTCTGAAAGCTTTGCAATTTGGAGGCTTGTATACAAGGATATCATTAAGAAGTACACTAGAAAATCCACCAAATATATACATGGACCTATTAAAAACAAAATAAGACCCTTATAGAAACAATATTAAAAGGTTCTAATAAATTAGTTTTTTAAAGTAAACAGGATTTTACTGTATTCTTACATTATTTTTAAATACTTATATCAGAACTGTTCTTTAAAATCATATTTCTAACATACAATACAATGTAAAAACACCAGATTTTTAGATTTCTTGAAGACTTTCCAGATGAAACATGAAATAGTCTATTAATCTTAATGTATTAAGAACACAGAGTAGTTCAAGTGGTAGAGTGCCTGCCTAGCAAGCATGAGGCCCAAGAATATCTTTTATTATAAAACAAAGAAAATAAAAAATAACCAAACACAATTTTCAACAGAGAAGCCTAGAGGTTTTATGCTTCACACTGAATTTCACTTATTACAACTTAAAAAGACAATTGATACCAGTTACAAAGTTTCACTGGGGTGAATAAATCATTGTGTGGCAATAGGGAAGAACTTTTACATAATTAGGCTAAGTTTGATAATAAACTATAATTCATTCTGAGTTAAATGCTTTAAGCTACATATTGTTTATTCTCACATAAGTGCAAACTACCAATTTTTGTTAATGAAACAAAAATTGTATTAATTTCAGGGAAGGACACTTAATAATCATCAATTTCCGAATGGATATATGGATATTAAAGTCTAGAAATGTTAAGAGACTGTCAAAAATCACGTTTAGTTAATATCAGAACAAAAATACAAATCTAATTTTCTCATTTTCTTTCTTCTGGATATAAACAAGAGGCCAGTATCTATCATTTCAGTTAGATCTTTTTAAAGATGCTTATCTGATCTCTAGAAAAAGGAAAGAAGTGTGATAACTTTAAAAGGTATCTGAAGTTTTATCTCAGTACCTTTCCTTGACAACGACCCACACCCTTTAAAAAGAACGAAGGGTATGGTTAACCAAAATGTATTCAATGATGCAGTGGGGAATATATATAATTAAATGTCATGAAATATCAATGATGATTTTCAAAAAGAGTATAAGAATTGGTGAATATGCCAAGTTCTACTGACATTCTTGTCCCTCTAAGAGTTCAAAATGTTCTCCATTTACCCATTAATGACCACTGCAGAGTGTCCAAATCTGTTGACATCTCTATGAAGATTTGGTTTCGGCAATGTTTTCCATTCATCACAAGCTAGAAAAAAGATAGCAGGAAAAAAAAAGTGTAATAAAAGAATAAATGAAGAGAAATAATGTAAAATAATAATTGGCCAAATTAGAGAAATAATGCTTAAAATTAGGAAGGAAAAAGTTCTTTCATTAATTAATTTTCTATGACCTATAATTTAGAAGCATTTTCCCTTAAATAAAAATAACTTGCCTAAAATTCTCACCAATAATTATAAGCACATGAGAGTAAAGGAAATAAAAGGAATGAAATTAAGTATACTTAAATAATTTCAATAGCACAGCTTTATTAAAATATACCAAAATTCATATAGTAAAACTCATGAATGTCAATATAGGACACCTGTATTACAAAGTTAATGCAACCTAAATATTACACGCATGCATACAAAAGCGAACAGCATATATAATATTCACTAAAAGAATGTCTAAAAATAGAATCAGAATAAAATATTTAAATTATTTTAATATTTGATATTTTTAAGAATAGTTTTTATATTGTGTACAAGGGAATAATTTCAGCTTCAAACAACCTAGATAAATAATGAACAATATCAATAATTCATCATTTTATAAGGACTATGGAAAAAAACATCATTTCAGTATAGCCTCAAATCTGACATATATAGAATTGACACTTGGTATCCACTGTTACATGGTTCCACTGATATAGTTTTCCTTCTATTGAGGAAAAAATACAAATGTTCAGGATGCATGGAGTTCAATCTGTACCATGGATTCCTGATTCATTTTCCCCATAATGCCAGCCAATGTCCACAAAAGACATGCTTGCTGCCTTTCAACAAATCTAAAATTTTCACTTGATCATTTAAATTAAGCATATGGTAAAAATACCATATTTTTACCTTACTTTTGGAGCACCATTAGTTTTTGGGAGGAGGCATTTTTTCACAAAATGAAGGATAAGGAAACACTCAGCAAATCACATTGTGATTAAAACACAACTGATGGTAACGCAGGACTGACTGACAGCTTCTCCACATCAACTAAGCTGCATAATGTACAAGTGGGATTTTAATTTTTTTTTCTTTTTGCAGCACTGAGGGTTGAACTCAGGGCTTCAAGCTTGTTAGGCAAGCATCCTTCCACTTGAGCCACTTGAGACTTTCCTCCAGCCCTGAAATATCTTTTTTTTTTTAATTTATGTTTTTATGGCACTTGATCACAACTCCTTGTAATAAATCCACAAAAAATAAGGCGGGCTTACTGCCCTAATACAGATTTTGAGATTTCATCTCAAATAATTCAGGATTCAGTGACTAGGGACATTCTCGAGACAGTGTTTTAGATTTCATCTTCCGAGACATGCCACACATAAGGGCAGGCCTTGGTATTTAGCTTTACAAAACCTATTTTTTGTTTAGGAAGTTTAGAAGTCCCTATATAAAAGAAAATAATGTTAAAAAATTAGTTGTAAAAGTTAAAGTCATTTCTTTTGCTATTGAAATAATTCAGACTTTAATACAAATAGTAAAATGGTTTTTAATTCAACATTCTTACTAATAAAGATCAAAAGAATTATAAAAACCAAAAACACAGTTGATGAAATGAAACGGGAAGACTGAAAGCAATTAACTGCATCTTGAGTTGTATTTCCAAAAGTGCATTCCAAGACATGCAAATTCCCTCTGCGCCCAATAGAGTACTCCTTAGTTTATATAATCTCTCTCTTAAATTCACAAATTATATTTACCTATTATTCTGAAAAACAGATTGTAAGGGTATAGAAACCTAACTGCTTTATTTAACCTACTGTTTTTCAAATGTTTTATGCATATAACCCCTATTAACATCCCTACATCAATGCTCTGAAGATCGCATTTTTAAAAACTACTAAAATAAAGGTGTATGAATGAAAATGGTCTACTAATATCACATGGTTATAGATAACTTAAGAATTGTGCATAATGTGCATAATACTATGAAAGTTTTAAAGTGCTTTTGTCAACCCAGTCCTGGTGGCTCACACCTGAAATCCTAGTTCCTCTGGAGGCAGAGATCAGGATTGCAGTTTGAAACCAGCCCAGGCAAACAGTTCATGAGACCCTATCTCAGAAAAAAAGGGGGGGGCTGGTGGAGTGACTCAAGGTGTAGGCCCTGAGTTCAAACCCCAGTACCACAAAAAAAAAGGTATTTTTGTCTACATAACTTAAATGGTCTTTATAAGAATTCAGTGAAGTTGAGCAGGTATTACCCTACGTTGGGTAAAGAAAGATTAGGCCAGGCATGGTGGCACATATATAAAATCCCAATACTTGGGAGGCAGAAACAGGAAGATCATGAGTTTAAAAGCAGCCTAATACAAAGTGAGTTCCAGGCCAGCCTGGGCTATATGGTGAGAACATGTCTAAAAAGAAACGAAGAATTAAACCTACGGGAAGCTAAACAACATGCACATTGTTTGATTACCAATGTTTTTCCATAATTTAGTTTTATGAATATTTTAAATTATAAACCCATATTCATAGGATTCCAAATATTATTCTTTTTTTGAAGAGATGTGACCTGCAAACAATACAGATGTTGAAAAAAAAAGAAATAAATGGAAATGTTATGAGTTAAGGCAGTTAGATTTCAATCATTCTGTTCAACCTGAACATACATACACACCCTAAACAGCCAATGATTTATGCATCATGCATTGATTATATCATCTCAACAACAATATAATCAAAGAAAAGTGAATATTAACAGAACTGGATGAAAGAGCAGAACCCTCAGAAACAAGTTTATTGTAAGTCTTCAAAGATGAAGAATGTTCAAGGGCATTTAAGAACTCCAGAATCCAGAAAAGGCAGTGGCCCAAAAACCTGAGTATATATTAGGGCAAAAGGATAAGTGTTGGGCCAGTATCCAACACAAACTAGGCAGAAGGAGAAAGGGAAAGCTAATTCTCAAAACAAAATCTATGTAAAAATGCTCAGAAAAATAACCTAAGAAATGAAAAAAATAAGCTGAGAGGGTAAAAAAGTAAGCATTAACTAAAACTAGGCTTTTTGAAGATTTCTTCTGATTCTATAAGCCATTCTCTTTTAAGAGAAAGATGAAAATTTTCAGTACACACAATAACATTATGAAGAATGGCATTACAAACACCTATGTACGACTGCAAGATGGAATTGGAGAACATCATTCTGAGTGAGGTTAGCCTGGCCCAAAAGACCAAAAATCGTATGTTCTCCCTCATATGCGGACATTAGATCAAGGGCAAACACAACAAGGGGATTGGACTTTGAGCACATGATAAAAGCGAGAGCACACAAGGGAGGGTGAGGATAGGTAAGACATCTAAAAAATTAGCTAGCATTTGTTGCCCTCAACACAGAGAAACTAAAGCAGATACCTTAAAAGCAACTGAGGCCAATAGGAAAAAGGGACCAGGAACTAGAGAAAAGGTTAGATCAAAAAGAATTAACCTAGAAAGTAACACACATGCACAGGAAATTAATGTGAGTCAACTCCCTGTATAGCTATCCTTATCTCAACTAGCAAAAACCCTTGTTCCTTACTATTATGCTTATACTCTCCCTTCAACAAAATTAGAGATAAGGGCAAAATAGTTTCTGCTGGGTATCAAGGGGGTAGGGGGGAAAGGGAGGAGGTGGAGTGGGTAGTAAGGGAGGCGGTGGGGGCAGGGGGGAGAAATGACCCAAGCATTGTATGCACATATGAATAATAAAACAATAAAAATTTTTTAAAAAAGACTTGTCAAACCCAATTATTTTGCCATATTGTAGTTTAAAAAAAAAACAATATTTACAGATATGAATGTAATTCCCTGCATTCCCCTTCCTCAATTCAAGTTTGTTACTTTCTTCTTAAAAGCAACCATTATCCCAAGTTTGCTTACAAATGTTTCTACTCTTACATATATATGTATTGTATACTAATATAAATGTCATCATATTATATTAATCTTTTTACAACTTGCTTATTTTGTTTCACCTATTGAGTTTGGTTTTGTTTTTACCATTTTAACTATTTTTAAGTAGAGATGCTCCTTGATTTATGATAGGGTCATACCCCAACAAACTCAACCTAAGTTGAAAATATAAGTCAAAAATACATCTACACACCAAATCTGTCAAACATCCCAGCTTAGCAACACAGTAGACTATACAGTGATCAAGTGGCTGACTGGGAGCTGTGGCTGGTTGCCACAGCCTAGCATAGAGCTAGCCCAAGAAAAGATCAAAATTCAGAGTATTATTTCTACTGTATATACAATATTTCTACAGTATATACAATTTCTACCATATATGGAGCTAAAAATCATAACTCCAACTATTATAAGTCAGAGAATGTCTGTATACAGTTCAATGATAATAAGTACATTCTCACTGTTATACAACTATCACTCACCACCATCCATCTCCAAAACTTTCTTCATCTTACAAAACTGGAACACTGTACCCATTAAATAGTAACTCCCCATTCTCCCCTTCCCCTAGCTTCTGGCAACTATCATTGGACTTTCTGCCTCTATAAATTTGACTACTTTAAATACCTCATAAGAATGAAATCATATGGTATTTGTCCTTTCTAACTTATTTCCCTTAACATCATGTCATCAAGGTTCACAAGGCTCACTGGTGCTCTAGCAGGTGTCAGACTATCCCTTCCCTTATAACACCCATTGTACATATGCGCCACACTTTGTTTATTAATTCATTTGTTTATAGACACTTGGATTGCTCCTATGTTTGGGCTATTTTGAATAATGCCTATATAAACAAGTGTCCATGTTGCCACTTTCAATTTATTTGGGAATATATCTAGAAATGGAATTTCTGATAATTCTGTTTAATTTTTTGAGGAACTACCAGACTTTTTCATAGTGACTATACAATTTTACATTCCCATTAGCAGTACACAAAGATTCAGTATCTCTACATCCTTACCAACACTTGTTATTTTGCTTTTTAATAACAGTGACCCTATTGGGTGGGAAGTAGTGTCTCGTTATGGGCTGGATTTGTATTTTTT